GCCTTATCGGGGCACCCTTTTTATTATTGTTTCTCTAGTTGCGACAAACCAATTTCATCACGTCCAAAGTTAGTAATTGGTTTAATGACAACCGTCTCCATTGTTAAACTCAATTTCATCATCTTAGGAGAGAGCGTCAGCAAAAAAGATGAATAATATGTGTGGTTAGAGAGAAGGACTAAATGACTTTAAATCCGCCCCTACTAGAGATAGATAATAGGTGGATCACATGAGGGCCAAGTATGTATAAAAATGGAAGTGGTCCAAAATTCATTACAACCGGGACCTAAAAAAAAAAAAATTCAATCACGTCTGCACAATATAAGGTTGCAAATAAATCCAATCAAGTGAAATACAATATTCATTCGGACTTACTAAATTTCTATCACAGCCTGAATGCAACGTGACTTGATTCCTCTCATTAATCGAACCAAGCTCTAGTTTGTACTTGAAATTATATCTTTGCTCAAGATTATTATTTTAGCTTGTTTTAGTAATATATATATACAAGTATATAATCCTTAAAAGTGTACCAAATGTACTTGTTCTCGTAAAAAATGAATAATGTATATGTATAGATTAAAGAGGCTTATAAGTCAACAAGTCATTATTAATACTCAACTTATTTATTCATACTCAAATAAGGTATGTCGTATATTTTTTCAATTTGTTATATATTTTGAATACATGATACCTATAATATAAAATATGACATGTTTCAATAAACTCATCTGACAGTCTCAAATAAACTCATCCAACGGCCACCAATATCCTTTTCAAAACCATTCTGAATGAATCATACCTTCAAATACGAGTTACTTCTAATATATATTATAAACAAGCTAAATTTCTAACTCCACCTGTTTATTAAATGACTTTTAGCATAAATGTGTATCGTTTCATGATTCCTATGATCTGTATAACAAAACAAAACTTGGAATTGACAAATTGTCATATTCAACCTTCAATCACACGCTTTCAATGTTGTTTATTTATTTTTGGATTAAATGCACACAAAGTGGGAATTTGATTGTGTGTAAGATCACAGATTCTGAAATTCAAAATCATTGTTCCCAATTGCTCGAAATATTAGTTTTAATACCAAGGTTGACAAATCTCAAGAGTACTCTCAACTGAGATTAAATAGATTTAAAAAAAAAAAGTCGCGTCAGTAGTATTTAATATTTTATGGGTGTTTTTGGTTTAAGCATTATGAAAGAGTATTAGACAAAATAATACTTGGTCCCTTCTTATTTTTTTTACTCTTATGTTTAGATACGCACTTTAGGCCCGGATGAATAGTACATTTAAACTTAAATATTGGTATTCATGGGATTGACTAATATATTTCATATACTTCCAATACGGAGAGAAGTTATTACCGAGCTTAAAATAATCTCATCTCATGTTTGTTTGAGTAATATGTTTTATTGTGAGACCCACTAAAAAATATCAATTATGTCACATCTCATATTACAAATAGTCCTATTTACACCTAATACAATCCATTCTATTGATAATCTCATCTCATGTTTGTTTGAATAATATGTTTTATCATGAGACCCACTAAAAAATATTAATTATGTCACATCTCATATTACAAATAGTCCTATTTACACCTAATGCAATCCATTCTATAGATGGGAAGGGATATTATAGTGATGGGTAAATTACATGTACCTCCCCTGAGGTTTGATCAAATAGCAACTAAGCCCCATCTTGTTTGAGAAATAACACTGCACTCCCTTTTGCTTTAGTTGTCAATAACATATTCCCCCTACCGTGAGTCTCCCATCAAGAATTCGTTAACAGTTTGGTAATATAAGCAATCTATAATTTTAAAATATCAATTCTAACCTTCTAGATACTACATACATTTAAATTTGTTGCCAAACAAGTTCAGCCCCTCCATGGCACCCACCTTTAACCCCTACTCTCCACGCCTCCCCTCCACCCCCCTCTCCCATCTCTCTATCTACTCTACATCCATAGGCATAACCCATTTCATCATCATCATCTATCTCTCACTCTATATATATAATATCAGTCAATCTAAACGACTGTTACGATTGGGGGTGTTGGGTGGCAGATCCACTATTTTGATTGGGGGCTCACGGTGATAATGTTGATGGTGGATGGTAGTGTTAGGTGACAAGGGTTTGTCAGTAATTTTTGTGGAACTGGTTGGAGATTTGTTCAACGACGATGATCGAAGCTAGCCACCACTCACCTTGGATCCATCAGCACAATGGATGAAGATGGTGAGGGTGACAACAAAGGCAAAAGACAAAGACGAATACCCCACCTCTGCAACTTCATCTAGCACATCGAACGTGAAGGCGACAACCCCGTATCTTCCACTTAATTGAATTTGACTGATTTTGTGTGGAATTTAAATTGAAAAATAGCTATGTAAGTAAATTGGGAAGATTTCTTCGAGTTAATGTGCAGGTAGCTTCCCCCCTCCCCTTCCCTTATGTACATATACGCATGTTGTGAAATGGGTTTGATGTTGTGCAATTGTGTTTGTGCACCTGTGGTGATGGTGGTGGAGAAATAGGTAGGGTGGTGGTGGTAGTGGTGACCGAGAAGTAGGTTGGACGATGGTGGTGGGTGATAAGCTAGTGGTTGGTTGTGGTAGTTCTCATGGAGGTTGGACGACAAAATAAAGAGAGAATATGAATGGTGATAAAATGAATGGAGAAGAGGAATTTTTACAAAAAATAAAAAAGGGACTAAAGGCTATTATAGTCATTTAACAAATTATGTCCTTAAAATGGGATGGACGTTACTGACAAGGGAGTGCGGTGTTATTTCCCAAACAAGAAGGGGTCTAGTTGTTATTTGACCAATGCTCAGGGGAGATGAATGTAATTTACTCTATAGTGATTTAGGGATTTTTATACTGTCGATGGACCTTAACTTGCCGAATAATACCACCTTTTAGGTTGTTTTAGATATAGCCATTTATATGGGCTTACAACCACTATAGCAATCGGGTCATGAATAAGATTCGAATATTTGTACTGATGTTAAACTGTTAAACAAAACAACGTATAATCGAACCTCATGTTTCTTTTCCACCTCCTAATATGCCACTTATCCTTCAAACAAACACACTCTTATTTGATAGATTTAAATAATTCGGTTAGGATGTGTTTGGACAAAAGATATTTTTATTTTCAAGAATTTCAAATATATAAATATCTTCTTTTTATCTTTATAATTATTTAATAATTTAATATTTATACTATTATATCATTCAATACTACAAGTAAAATATTGAATTAGATAAATGTGAGGTCCACTTATTTCTTGATATGAATGGAGTTATTCGATATAATACCTAATGAAAACACACCCAATATACTACATTCATAAGAGATTAAGACTTTTAAGTACCCACATTAATTTTTTAATTCTCAACAAAATTTTAAGGATTTAGGTTTTATATACTCAATTTGCTCTTGTAGAAAAGAGTTTCATTTAATTTTTCTTATTTGATAATTTTTTATCATTATATAAATGTTTTTAAATAGACGAAGTTATAAATATATTATATTTATTTATCTATCACATATTATTGGCACCCTCGACCTGGGATATGTGCGCGTTACGCACCATTTTAAAGTCTATTCTCTTTGACAACCCCACTCTACTATTCAACCTAGACTACAGAGAGAAATAAAAAGGAAACAAACAAACCCATGCCGCCCAAGGGGGAGAGAGAGAGAGAGAGACACATGCAACCTATAGATATAGAGACACAAAGTAGAAAGACCGAGAGAGAGGACTTTTATTACATTTTACAATGTAAAAAACTTGCTCGGGTCGTGTCGGCTTCAACCAGGCAAAGACCATCACCTCTCTCTCTCTCTCTCTCTCCATCTTTATCTTTACTCTTTCCGAAACCCTAATTATTACCAGTACACACTGACATATTGATCCAGCTCTCTTTTTTAGTTAAGGTTTTGTTTGGGAGCTATCTCTGGAGCTTCTTTTTGATTGAAATGGATATGGAAATGGCGGATCGTTCTAGGGGATAGTCAAATCTCTTATAACCAGTAGGTACTGTTCTGTTACTGTTTAGTTGGTTTTTAATGAGGGTTTTCGGTTTGATTTGGCTTCTTTTCGATTGTTCATCAAGCTTGGGCGTCTATTTGTTTCGATACGCATTTACATGTGTGTTTATATATATATATATACACACACACGTACACATACATACATACATATACGCTTCTCTTCCAGGCTTTTGATTGTACAATTGTGAAGGTCCGATCTCGGATCTGTGAACATGAAAAAGACCAAAATTTGACTTCTTTTTAATCTTGCCTCTGTCTGAAATTTCTTTCTATCCTTCTTGCATTTCTATGATGTATTCTATTCTATTCTCTCTCTCTCTCTCTCTCACACACACACACACACATATATGTGCATATAGGGAGGGTTCATGTATCTGATCTAATTATGATTTTTATGATGTGGTGTTGTTCAGTGTACTTCTATTTGTTGAAAAGTTTTTACTTTTTATTGGAAGTGTAACGAACATGTGATCTTTCTCGCTTTAGCAGAGAAATTTATCCCGAATTTAAGCTTAAAGCTACGTGATTTTGGGAGCATATGAATTATGCTTAAGGTTCCATGCTTTTAGGCTGATTTGTGTCTTGGCCTGTCCGTTAAAAGCCCTCTAAACTAACTTTTTTTTTGCTGCATTTAAGGCCACCCCACAAACCAGAGATAATAAACACATGCGCTCTCGAGTAATTGAGGGCTTTAATTAGCTGTGCAAGAAGCTATCAATTTGTTTCAATAGATTCCGTTATATCGTGGAGTTTCTATTCATTGGATATTGATTGCTATTGGGTTTTATTAGTTTGGTATGTCTTTCTCTCCTTCAACCCGGTAACATCCTTGAATAGAGAAGCAGTTGCCTTCAATAATTTGGGCTTGGGGGACTTAATCGTATACATACTGAAGCTTTGAGGGTGGGTTTTCCCATGGCATTCCTTTCCGCGACTCATATCCCTGGAGTGTCCCATCCAGGTATACATCCTTTATTTGCTTTGAATTTTATCATTGTCTTGTGATTATTTTTTGTTGGTAACCAAGTGTCTATGTGTTTATATTTGTCACAAAATTCTCTCTGTTCCTCTCGCTTTATTGTAAGTTATACATGCTCTTTCATTCTAGGGGCCTCAAATGATGCTTTGTACAAGGAACTGTGGAATGCCTGTGCTGGACCTGTTGTCACGGTTCCTCGTGAAGGGGAACGGGTTTATTACTTTCCTCAGGGTCACATGGAGCAGGTATGCTTCGTTTTCCTTAAAATTTTGATTCTAATTCGAACTTGTAAGTCCATATTTTTAGTTGGTAGCTATACTTACTTGAAGGATAATTGCTGTCGATCTACTTCGGTTTTTTTTTTTTTTTTCCATATTTGGGCATGTTTAATTTGCATGAAGTATTTCTAGTGTGCATGCCATATGTCTATTGTGTATGCCATATTTCTTGTTTGTATGTCTTCTATTATAGCTGCTGTTATAGCATGTCTTTGTTATCCATTGTGATTATAAATTGGCGGAGTTGTAGATATCTGTCTCTTTATTCTGATATGCGAGTTCACAAACTATGCATTCATAGCTGGGATCTGCTTATTTAAACTCCCAAGGATGATTGGAACCATTAATTACCGCTCGGAGGTCACAGATGTCATTTTCCCTTTGTTTGAGCATATTGTTTAGCTTGGTTATCCTATGGATATTGGTTCTTTTCACAGCTTGAAGCATCGACTCAGCAGGGATTAGACCAACAACTTCCTTCGTTCAACTTACCGGCTAAAATACTTTGCAAAGTGGTGCATATTCAGCTTCGGGTGAGTCTTATCATGATTCTTATGTGGTCAAAAAAGGAAAATTTTCAGCCATTTTCTTTCTTGGTTCACTTAGTGTTCAATGGGACTGCAGGCTGAACCAGAAACAGATGAAGTCTATGCCCAGATAACTTTGCTACCTGAAGCAGATGTTAGTTTTTTTATCCCTTTATCTTGTTGTAAATTCATAAATTGCTCTGTTAACTTTCCACTCAATGTAGTATTTTTTTATATTATTTTGGGTTCTTATGCTTGTTTGTCCCTATTCTACTCGTTTGATCAGCAAGGGGAGGTCACAAGTCCAGATCCTCCGCTCCCAGAACCTCAAAGGTGCACTGTCCATTCATTTTGCAAGACATTAACTGCTTCTGACACGAGCACCCATGGTGGTTTCTCTGTTCTTCGAAGGCATGCAGACGATTGTTTGCCTCCACTGGTAAGCTTTAAAATCATATCTAATGTAGTCACATCTTCCTTCTTTCCCTAGTTTTTTGCCTGCCTGGCTTTAACTTTCAGCTTTGTTCAGGATATGTCCCAACAACCACCCTGGCAGGAATTAGTTGCGACTGATCTTCATGGAAATGAGTGGCATTTCCGTCACATCTTTCGAGGTTAGAATTCCACTCGTGGACTTGTTTGATATTGTAAATATTCATGATTGGGCTGGAGAGTTGCAATCTTTCCAAGTTGGAAACTGGGTGGATAAATGTCTATTCTAGACATCCCAGTCAGGCAAAACAAAGTTCTGCATGCATTTAGAGTCTTTGTAATGTTTTGGGAATTGTCTTTCTGTTCCTGGAAGTTTATTCTAGTTGGAAGTAGCACTTCTAATCAGTTTTTTTCAAAAAGACTATAGGTGCCACACCCGTATGTGTGGAAACATTGGGCAGTATAGGGAATCTATGATTGTGTTTCTGGATGGATGTGGGAATTTGTGCTGGTAGTTAGCTTGCGGCTCAGAATCTTAATATTTCAGTAAACTGCTTCTGATGGGCACCAAAATTTGCAGAGAATAATTTTTAAAAAAAAATTTGGTCAGGATATCTCCATCTAATAATCTGTTACTTCTCCGTTGGGATTTTAACAAAACCAAGAATCTTGTACAGTGGGTATAGTTATGTTAGATGAATTTTTGCTGTTGTAATCCACAGGAAGATTATCCCTCCTTGGGTAGTTGGAGATGCTTTATATGTCAGTATGTAGTCACTGTTTTAGATTGTTGTTTCTCAAGATAGCAGCACTTTTGAGTGGGGGGTTGACTTCCTTGTGAAAGAGGGCCTCTATCTTTGGATTCATTTCATGAGAATATCAGTTGAAGTTAGTTTCTGCCTTGAATGTCCTGTTCATTAAAGTGGGTTGTCCCCTTTTATGTTACTTCCCCTGTATTTCTCTCTTCGCGATGATGCCATCCTTCTGCCATTATGCTTTCTTCATCTACTAAAATAGGGATTTTTTGATTGAAACTTTTTAGTTTAAGACCTCGTGATGTAGCTGTCTTGTGACATCAATGCTCAATTCTTTTTTTGTGGATTGGCATTTTAGGATTCTGGTTTCAATGGCGCCAAATCTCGACTGCATTTTATTTTCAGTAGTTGTATATCTTTTCAACATTCTTTTATTGATACATCACTTGCAGGGCAACCAAGACGCCATTTACTCACAACTGGGTGGAGTGTCTTTGTTAGTGCAAAAAAACTAGTGGCAGGCGATGCATTCATTTTCCTAAGGCAAGTATTATAAAGTCTGTTGGAGCAAATTTTTTTCCCAAATTTTTTAGTCGATTGCTCACAATTAGTATTGCCTTGTATATCTGTTGCAGGGGCGAAAATGGGGAACTACGTGTTGGTGTGCGGAGGCTTATGAGGCAACTAAACAATATGCCATCTTCGGTTATATCTAGCCACAGCATGCATCTTGGCGTTCTTGCCACTGCATCGCATGCCATCGCGACTGGAACCCTCTTTTCGGTTTACTATAAACCAAGGTTCTCTTTTGCTTAAATTTCATGTAAAGATGAATTTGTTTCCCTTGATTTTATCTTGTTTGCATCTCGGTGTTCTTGCTACTGCATCTCATGCTATCGCAACTGGTACCCTCACTTTAGTTTACTATTATTAACCGAGGTTCTCCTTTTCTTAATTTTTCAGGGAAAAATCAATTTATTTCCCCTGATTTCATCTTGTTTGTATAGTTTTGCTGTGTCTTAGCTTTATGAACATCATATAGCATCTTATCTTTGACTCTAAAGCATTCGTGGATTTCTTATTTTGAAGAAATTTATCTTTTGTTGTAAGTGGGCACATATTTTCATGTATTGGGAATCAGTATTGGTTCTATCATGCATACTATGTTATCCTTTGGTATGAATGACATGTTAACCTCACATTCCTGGTCCCAAATGGGAGAACTTATTTTTCTTTTTCTTTTGACTGTTCAGTGTGGTTAATCTTCTCTTTTTCCTAAATTCATTTTTTGATTTGGAATTGAAATATCTAAGATTTCCTTGTGTTGACTCAAGACTGTTTTAATTGTTTGGTTGGTTTTTTGATTGGTAATTAGTTAGTTAATATATTTTTTTTCGGATGAAGTTACTCAAGTTGCTTTTACCTTTTATCCTCCTTATGATATTTGTCAGAATGGTACTCTTACAGGAGACAAACAAAAAGTATTTCTATCTTGTCGTGACTGCATTCTTTATGGGGAAAATTCCCGATAAATCCTCTTTTTCTCACTATTCAGCCATCCAGTACTATCATATTTCTATCGGGAGAGTTGAGCCCTACTTTTTAAACACTATTTCAAACAAGTCTTACAGTTACTACCAAAACTATTTGATTGCAAATTGGTTACAGAAATTGAAGTAAAAGTGTATTGATGCCTAAAGAACTGACAAATTTGGCATAAAGCCTGTTATTGAGTTTTGAACGAATTTGGGACAAATTACAAAGAGTAAGACAAAGTCCTAATGGAAATTGGATAGGAATAAATGGTTTTTAGTGGAAAAAGTAGGACATAATTGGGAATTTTATGTTCTCTATATTCCCTCTTTCTGTATAATTTATTGAGAAAAATCATTATGTGGCTAGAACAAGTCGATCGGAGTTCATTGTAAATGTCAACAAGTACCTTGAAGCTCAAAGTCACAAGCTTTCTGTTGGGATGAGGTTTAAGATGAGATTTGAGGGTGAGGAAGTTCCTGAAAGAAGGTATTTGTCTAGCTGGTCCATTGTTTTGTTGGTTGAAAAGCTTGGAAATATTTATTAACTGGACATTTTGCATGTTTATACAGGTTCAGTGGAACAATTGTTGGTGCTGGTGATAATTTGTCATCAAGATGGCCTGATTCTGAATGGAGATCCTTAAAGGTGCATACATTTCCTTGGATTAAGCTGATAATGGTTATGAACTTTAGAATGATATGTTGATGCTGTGATGGATGTTGCCCTGTAGTGAAATTCTGGAATATTTTATGTTTAAGATGAGAATTTTTAGGAAATTATGAAATGCTTCATTTCCTTGCTTTTTTTTTTTCCGGAGTATGGATTTCTGCCATCACTTGCTAAAGAAAAATTAATCTAATGGTTCTATTCGCATGGAATATCCAAATGAGCACTCAAGAACTATGAAAACAAAGGAGGACATTATAGAAGATATCAAGATATGAATGACTAATCCAGTTGATTTACATTTATCCAACAGGAAATCCAGTTGATTGTATTTGTTATCAAACTTTTAGGTATCTTCTGAGGAATTGTTAATTAAGTCTTCCTATGTTTTGTCTAGCTTGGAATTTAACTTGAGTTTGCTTCATATGTTATGAATCCTTGGAAAAACTAAGAAAGATCCGCTCATGCAAGTTTTAATTCTTCTGGGATGATTTCCTCACAACTTTTCAAGTTTGTTGCTGGAAATACCTATGGGAACTTAGGTGTTGCATTTGACTACTTGCTTTATGTAAACTTTAAACAATGTGACTTTTAAAGTCATGCAAGTACCGGTTTTTGAGAACTTTCGATTCTCTTGCATAATAAAATTCTTCTAGCAAGAAAAAACTAAGTTTTTGAGAACCCCTTAGAATTGATAGCATAAACCTGGGAATTGAATTTTGTACCCAACTTATAAAAAGTCTAGAGTTGTCTCATAAAATCAGGGTAATTGGATTATTTGAGATCAACTGCATTTTAATATCTTTTTGAATGAAAGAATTTTTTTCAAGACAGTTTGAAATGTTTATGGGTTGCTGTTGATTTTGCAGCCAAAATGAGCGTCGCACATGGAAATTCCGAGTCCACGTGTAATGTTTGTGTGTTGGAGCGTGCGTCTGCAACTTCGTGAATTATATTGTACAAGAAACCTTGTTTTAGGTTGCCACAGACACTTAATGTTCTATTCATTTCCAGCCAGAGTCTTAACTCTTAATTAATCTTATGGCCGAAGTTGTACTCATATCTATATTAAGTGGAGATTTCTAAAAGAAGACTGCTTACATCATATTCTGGTTTCTGTGGAAATATCATCGATTGGAATTAGGTCACAAAGTTGTTTTAGGTTTTGAGATGGTTACTTTAGCACCAGAATCTGTGTCAAATTAAGTTGTTTGGTTTATAGACTTTTTTATGATTATATCTGTCGTTTTGGGTGGAGATTGGCATTGCTATCCTGTCGGATGTAGAATTTCAGTTTATTTAAGATCTAATGTGTGATTAGGATATACATGTGTTCAGGTTCAATGGGATGAACCTTCTTCAATTTTACGTCCAGACAGAGTTTCACCTTGGGAAATAGATCCCCTTGTGACAGCATCTCCTTCAAACCTCCAACCGCCACAAAGGAATAAGCGTACACGACCACAAGTTCTACCTTCACCAGTGCAAGATCTTTCTGCGCTCGGTATAACAAATCTTGACTTGTACCTCTTTGTTGCACATCCATTTCATATTTAAGTCTGCATTTTGCCTTTGTGCTAATAGGAATGTGGAAATCTCAACAAGTTGACTCCCCATCGGCTTTCTCATATCGTGATCCACCGCGTGGCCGAGACCTTTATTTATCTCCCAATTTCTCTTCTGGTACTAAAGCTAGTTCTCATAACTACAGTGAGAACAATTCATTGCCTCCCGTTTCCAGCAAATCGATGTTTTGGTCTAACCAAGTGGGGAGCATGGCGGAGTCTTTTGCACCTGTTGTCAACAAAGAAACTGGTGAAAAGAGGCAGGCAAATGGCTGCAGGCTATTTGGGATTGAGCTACTTGACCACTCTGCGGTGGAAGAAAATTCAGCAGTGGTGGTGTCTGGAGCACTGGTGGAGGATCACCCAGTTCCATCTTTGGATACCGAGTCTGACCGGCATTCTGAACCATCAAATATTGATAGATGTGATATTCCTTCAGTAAGTTGTGAACCTGAAAAATCATGCCTGAGATCTCCTCATGAGTCACAAAGCAGGCAAATTCGAAGTTGCAGAAAGGTACTTTGGCCACTACTTTTACTTGTTTGGGTTGAATGTAATTTATCTTGTGTGTCTCGGTTCTCTGGACCAAGCATCCTTGTTGATGGTGCACTCATTTGAAAAACTCTGATTGAGAGTCTCTCTTAGGAAATCGTAAGAGGTCTTAGATTAGCTTGGCAAGCATGCAAGTCCCCCACCCAAAAATAAAAAAACTACATTATTGTTGGGTAATCTTCTGGTAACTAACTGTCTTGAAAGATTAACTTCATAAAGAGCAAAGTGCATGACCCTGTTCTTGTCCTCTTTAACCAAGACCGTTTGGAGCAGTGATGGGGTACCGACCTAAGAGGTTAGTTAGCCCAATCATTTTTCCATTGCACAGGACATTGGTCCCTTATTTTGAACTGAAATTGAATATAAATCTACTGTTGTACTTATGCAACTCAATAAGCCGCATTTGACTTTTTTCAGCCCAAATAAAATCATTTTGATGAAATATTTTTCTTAATTTATCCAGGTTCACATGCAAGGTATTGCTGTTGGGAGGGCAGTGGATTTGACACGGTTGGATGGGTACGAGGATCTGCTGAGAAAACTAGAAGAGATGTTTGAGCTTGAAGGCGAACTCTGTGGATCCACAAAGAAATGGCAGGTTGTCTACACTGACGATGAGGATGACATGATGATGGTGGGGGATGATCCATGGCAGTTAAGTTCACATGACTAAGTCTATTTTAATTGGTTTGTTATCTTGCTTGCATTTAGCTCAGACTTGCACAGTAGATTCTAAACCTTTCAAGTGGACAATTTTTATTACATTCAACTCTAAATGATCTGCCTTGAAGATTCATTTTGAGTGTACTTAAGGTCATTTGCTGCCTAAGACCAATAAGGCACTCACTAGCACATCAAGTGACCAAACCACAATGTAGGCAATTCGTAGGAAATTGTTCACCAACATTACAATTCCAACAATTCTCGCCTACCATAATGACTTTCAATTTTGAATCTATATTTTTGCAGTGAATTCTGCAGCATGGTGAGAAAAATTTTTATCTACACAACAGAGGAAGTAAGGAGGCTTTCATCCAAGACAAAACTTCTGGCTGATGATGAGGTCAAACCCGACAAGCCAGGTTCGGATCCTGCTGTTGGCACTGAAGAGCAGTCATCAAATGTGGGGTCTGGTTATTGATACACTCATAGGAAAAAACATTTTAGGGGGTGATATATCCGAGAAAGGTGACATTGAAGTTTGATAAGCACCCAAGATTTTGGTTCATTGCAGGAGGGAGTGATGCTATCCATGCCAATTTGTCCATGCTTGGCTTGAGAAAAAAGGGCGGTTGTTAAATCCACATTATCTTTGGTAAGCTGTGCCATAAAGATAAGGATTCGGTCGTAGAATTATTTTTATTTGTCTTCTTGTTGTCAACGGAATCTTTTCAAGTTCTTTGCTTATGTGGACCTCGGATGGGTTCAAAAATGTGTCTGCTTCATCTAAGGAGATGCAGAAAATACCATTTTTATTTTTTGTCTTCAAGTTCTTTAATATATACATGACAGGACACAACCAGCCGTCTGTATATATATATGGGAAACATTATGGTATTATTTCTTTATTTTTCGATATTAACACTAGAAAAGAAAAAAAAAATCTAAAAGGTGGTAAGTTTTATAGGGGGGTGCACTGCAAGGGTTGGTAAAATATATAAAATAATAGTAATATTCTGTTTGGTTCGTCTGAAAAATAGAAGGATGAAAAGGTAAAATGATGGAAAGTTGGAGAGTCATGTTTTGTAAGGAATAAAAATAGGAATGACGAAAAAGTAGATGGGTGAATTTTTTTTGTGTAATTCACCAAAATTAGATCTTCTAAAATTGGCAGGAAAGTAAAGTAAAAATTAATTATTTGTGTTAAAATATATTTTATTTATTTATATATTTTTTAATGTATATATTAATTTTATATATAAATACAATGATAAAATATGTATTTTTTTAAAAAAAATAAAAAAATATTTTTTCTGTCTTACCCAGCACTAAAAAAAATTAATTATTTTTAAAGTGTATCTTTTTTATTATTATTATTTTTTTTTTTGGAAGAATAGAAAATATATTCTTATTATTTTTTATCTTTGTTATCAAAGGGAGCATAAATAAAGCGATACAAGAATTTTTTTTGGGTACTTTAGTTAAACCCTAACTATATATATGGGGCTGGTGCATACATAAGGTAAAAGCTCATTTTAAAATATTTTTTTATTTTAAGAAGTTTCGTGAAATACAACCATAATGTTTTCAGGGAAATAGAAGGTGTGGATAATAATAAGTTGTAGATAATATCGCCAGGTTGATGACGTGGAGATAAGATTGTGTACCAAGTCTGTTCTGTTCGTCAGAGCTTGGCCGTGTCCTGGACCTAAAGATAGTGCTAGGCATACAAGTGGACCGCAAATGTTGTTTTATATTGATTAAAATAAGGGGAAGGCTACGGTACCGCCCTCATTTTTTTGGGTACGGTATCCAAAAAAATGTGTGGCCCTCAATTTTTCTCATTAAATAATAAAAGGTTATTTACTAAAGATGTGATAATTTTATCAATAAAAGTTGTTCCATTTTTTTAAAAAATTGTAACTTTAGTTGCCATTTTTTTGTGGTATTTTTACCTTTACTAATTATAGCTTAAACTTAAATAATTATAACTTCATATCCAAATATAGTAATTTTATCATAAATAGTTATAACTTCACTTTCAAAGATTGTAATTTTACTTTTAATTATTGTAATCTTACCTAAAGAATTTGTATCTCACCTTTAAAAATGATAACTTTATCTTAAAAGGAATAACTTTGTCTTTGCAAGTAGTAACATTACATTTAATAGTTATGATCGATTATGATTAATTAAGATCGATCTCAATGCCCATTTTTTTTATTTTTTTTGTGATTCCACTCAATTATGAACGATCCTAATGCCAAATTTTTTTTATATTTCACTTAATTAGAATCGATCATGACTATATGATATCGATCTTAATGCATTCAATGGTCCAAAAATTAGGACAAAACTAAATTTCTGGTGGTTCCAATTAAATTGGATCGATCACGACTAACCAAACTTTTTTTTTTCTGAACTGATCCCGATCCTATATTTAATTATATTAAATTGACACGTAATTTTATAAAGTTAATTAACATTTTATGAATTAATTTTAATTTTAAGAATTTTAAATTAATGTTAATTTTATGAATTTTAAATTTATAATTTTGAATGTTAATTTAATATAATTGAAGGTCAATTTAATGTTATTTTTGATGAATTGAGTATTAGTTGGATAAAATTAAAAATTAATTTCATAAAATTACATGTCAATTTAATGTAACAAAATACAAGATCGGGACCAGTTCAGAAAAAAAAAATCATAAAATTAACATTAATTTAAAATTCATAAGATTAAAATTAATTAATAAAATTTTAATTAATTTTATGAAATTACATGTCAATTTAATGTAACTAAATATAGGATCGGGACCAGTTCAAAAAAAAAAAAAAAGTTCGGTTAGTCGTGATCAATCCTATTTAATTGGAACTACCATAAATTTAGTTTGGTCCCAATTTTTGGACTATCAAATGCATTAAGATCGATCTCATATAGTCATGACCGATCCTAATTGAATGAAATCGCAAAAAAAATAAAAAAAAAAATTGGCATGACTATTAAATGTAATGCTACTACTTGTAAAGACAAAGTTATTACTCTTGAAATAAAATTATCACATTTAAATGTGAGGTACAAACTCATTAGGTAAGGTTACAACAATTAAAAATAAAATTACAATCTTTAAAAGTGATATTATAACTATTTATGGTAAAATTACTAATTTTGGATATGAAGTTATAACTATTTAAGGTTATGTTACAATTAGTAAAAGTAAAAGTACCAAAAAAAAACGGCAGTCGAAGTTTCAATCTTTAGAAAAAATGGTATAACTTTTATTAGCAAAGTTATCACACCTTTACTGAGTAACTTTTTAATATTTAATGAGAAAAATTGAGGGCCACATATTTTTTTCAGTACCGTACCAAAAAAAATGACGGCAGTGCCATAGCCTTCGCCGTAAAATAAATATATAGTCTTCAACTTATGGTTTTTTGTATCAATTATGTTTCCAAATTTTTTAACAAACATTGATAGAGTGTGACACTCATGTGATCAGACGACAACTTATTTGTGTCATGTGAGTGACACACTTTGTTACTTTTCATTAAAAAATCCAACGAATACAAATAAGATGACTCAATTGCTATAATTAGCGAATTTAAGAGATCAATTGACACATAACTAACGGGTTTTTGGTCCAATGATACTTTTTATCTTGTGAAGGTTTTGTTTTCTTGAGGTCAAGGGTTCAAGTCTCCCCTCCCCTCTTTCCTCTCCCCCCCCCCAAAAAAAAAAATTCAAGAATTTAATTGACACAAAGGTCATAGTTTGAAGGTTACGTATGTAGTTTACTCTTTTATATTATATTAGTCATAATCCGTGCTTGAAACCACGATAAAAAATAAAATTTGAGTGCCCATAAAATATATGAGATAACAATTTTCTTTTCTTTTCTTTTCTTTAATTATATAATTTAAAATTAATTTTTACCCATTATTTTTTAAAAAATTAATAATTTTTTTTTAAAAATACACGACCTTAAAAAAATATTAACGTGTCCAATATTATATATGTACAATGTCTTAAATAAAATTGTATTAAGTCACAAATTAATTAAAAGTTAAATGATTTAACTTGTGATAGAAATGAGTGATGTAATGAAAATGAGCAAAAACAAATATATGAGGATAAAATTCAAAATCTTAGCTCTCTTATTATAGAGATGTCATGTGATATCAAAGAATAATTTCAAGTTATTATACATTTATTTCTTATACATTACAATGTAGTCTACATAAATTTGTTTATTTTTATTTCATATTACTTTATGTTTTTCATCAATGATTAGAAATTAATCAAACTAAAATCTACGGTCATAGATTAATATTGGTGTCATGCCATTTTATTCTTTTTTTTGGCAGCATCATAATTCTATTTATATTTCAAAAATATAGGGGGACGATACTTACTATGCCAGATTTTGGCGAGATTTAGATCCTCTCCATTATAGTTTCTCATGATAGATTATGGGACTTGATATTCAGGGTAATCTATTATTAACGAAAATTAAGATAGAATGCATATTGTAGGATCATATAAAAAAAATTAAGAAAAATTACAGATGAGGGGATATGAATTCGTTTGGAGCTGCAAATAATGCACTCCCAAAAGAAGCATAGTAAGATAAAAGTTTTTCAAAGTTTTTTTTTTTTGAAATCATTTTCTAGAGTTTCAGTGAGGATGGCCTGTGCCCAGACATGAAGGACTTGCCATGAGATTTACTCTTGATCAACCCATCAGAGTTTAGGGATCTTAGGATCAACCAATGATGATCAAGCTAATAGAGCCCTTGGAAGGCTGTAGGTATGTAACTTAACATCTGAAATTCGCACAATACCACCAA